TATGTTTTAAAACCACCCATGAGTGAGTACATGTGATCATTGTCTTTCTTTGTCTGGGTTACCTCACTCAAAATGATGTTTTCTGGCTCCATCCATTTTCCTGCAAAATTCAAGCTGTTTTTTTTCTGCTGTATAGTACTCCATTGTGTAAATGTACTACATTTTTCCTATCCATTCTTCAATCGAGGGGCATTTAGGTTGTTTCCAGGTTCTGGCTATGACAGACAAAGCTGCTATGAACATAGTTGAGCACATGTCCTTGTGGCATGATTGAGCATCCTTTGGATATATACCCAAAAGTGGTATTACTGGGTCTTGAGGAAGGTTGTTTCCTACTTTTCTGAGAAATCGCCACACTGACATCCAAAGGGGTTGTACCAGCTTACATTGCCACCAACAATGCAGGAGTGTTCCCTTTTCCCCACAACCTCTCTAGCATAAGTTGTCATCAGTGTTTTTGATCTTGACCATTCTTACAGGTGGAATCTCAGAGTTGTTTTGATTTGCATTTCTCTGATGACTAAGGATGTTGAACATTTCCTTAAGTGTCTTTTGGCCATTTTAGATTCCTCTGTTGAGAGTTCTCTTTTTAGGTCTGTACTCCATTTTTTTTTTATTGGATTATGTGATCTTTTGGTGTCCAATTTCTTGAGTTCTTTGTATATTTTGGAGATCAGACCTCTGTCTGATGTGGGGTTAGTGAAGATCATTTCCCATTCTATAGGCTGTCGTTTTGTCTTGTTGACCATGACCTTTGCTTTACAGAAGCTTTTCGGTTTCAGGAGGTTCCATTTATTAATTGTTTCTCTCAGAGTCTGTATTACTGGGGTTCTATTTAGGAAGTGGTTCCCTGTGCCAATGCGTTCAAGTGTACTTCCCACTTTCTCTTCTATAAGGTTCAGTGTGGCTGGCTTTATGTTGAGGTCTTTGATCCATTTGGACTTGAGTTTTGTGCATGGTGATAGATATGGGTCTACCAAAAAGAATTCTATAAATATATTTTCAGTGAATGCTGTGGCTTGAAGAGGTGAGGGAAGTGTTGAGATTGGTGGTGACTGATACGGATTCTTTGGGAGGAGAGGCAGGTCAAATTGAATTCTGTTAATAAATTTAAAGGCAGACTTGTAGAGAGCTGTGTTTACACTTGTGATGAATTGTCCAGGATAGTAGCAAGTCTGTCTTTTCCAATTCTGCTAGTGCCAGACTGGCTTCAAACTCACGGAGATTGTCTGTCTCTGCCTCCCAGGAGCTGGGATTACATTTTGGTATTTGAATTTCATTTTCAGAACATTTTAGTGAAGCTGGTTGTGATGTGCACCTGTAATCCCAGGATTTGGGAGGTGGAGGTGGAAAGGTGAAGTTTGCAGTTGTGACCTGTATATCAAGTAGCAGACAGATCTGGGCTACATAAGGGCTGTTCTGGAACAACACTGCTAGCAGAGGAAGATCATCTAGGAGGAAGGAAAGACTAGTATTGTTACAGGACACGGGCTAAGTCACACTCTGAAGGGCAAATATAATCTGCCTGTAAAGGTTGATCATATTTACTTTGAGTTTTCTATTTCCATTGTACACAGTTCACTAAGAAGAAGGCTGACTCCCCCCCTTTATGTATGTATGTATGTATGTGTTTGTTTGTTTGTTTGTTTTTAGGTGTGGATACAGAGTGGCTCCAGATGGTGTGAATGAGCCAGAGTCTGTACACAGTGCTGGCCTTTGGAGGCCTGCAAGCACCTCCTTGTCCTCTTGGGCTCCTACAAACAGGGTTTAGATGGAAAAATGCTTGATGAGAAACAGGTTACACAGACCGTTCCACAGATTGATTTCAGGACAGCTTAGAAATATCTTCAGATCAGCCAGTGAGATGGTTGGGGTAAAGGCTAATGACTGGAGTTCCATCTCTAGAACCCTCGTGATGGGAGGAGAGAACCAAACAAATTCTCTCAAATTCCTCTCTGACATTCACACATGTACAACCTCCCTCCCCCAATATATATACTTATATATATCATATGTATATATGATATCATATGATATCATATATCATAATCATATATATATGATTTCTCTGTAGCTTTGGAACCTGTCCTGACACTAGCTCTTGTAGACCAGGCTGATCTCGAACTCACAGAGATGCACCTGCCTCTGCCTCCCAAGTGCTGGGATTAAAGGCGTGCGCTCTAAGGATGCTATTTTCATACTAAGTTAGCTGTTAATAGTGAAGCTGTTGAGAGTCTGCTTGTCTGCCTGCCTGCCTCCCTCCTTCCATCCTTTCTCCTTTTTTTAATGGCTTCTTTGGTTTCTATCTTTCTATGTGTTCCCAGGTATTTAGTTACACATGGGTCAGTTTGTGGACACTTGTGATATTTTGAACCTTAAATCACTAGAGTTTTATTTTGCCGTGAGGGTTGGGGTAGGAAGCCAGCTCTCCTAACACCACTTATGAGAGAATCATCATCGTCCCATCTTATACACTGCATATCGGACACTGTGTCTATGCCGTGCATCATTCGCCCTGACCTTTCCAAAGAGCACCATGTCTACAAGGTCTCTCTCCTTCCTGCTCTTCCCATCCCTCGTTCCTGTTCTGGGGATTAAGTCTAGGCCCTGTTGCATGCTAGGAATGCTCTACCATTTCCTTTTTTTTTTTTTTTCTACCAACTCCCTTTCTTTTCTCTTGGCGGTTTAATTTTTGACCCTGGGTCTTGCTAAGTTGCCCTGACCCACAGGCCTTGAGCTTTGTTCCTCCAACTTTGCATCCCAAGTAGCTGGAATCACAGGCTTACATCACTAGGCTGGGCCAAACTTCCTTTATGTATTCTGGTTTCCCTCCTCCCAGTTTTTCAGAGTACAGGAGAGGTGATTTTTTTTTTTCTAAACTAGGAGAAATTTACCTTTTTGGTCTTTGGGTAAAGACCGGATCCTCCGTGACTAGAAGACCCCCGTGGCCTTCTCGGGGCCTGACTCATTTTGTCCCTCCTCTTCCTGTTCACAATTTCATTTGAAATCATCCTCCCTGCAGGGATTTTGAATTAAGGCTCCTAGGTAGCAAAATGAGTCAATCTCAGTCAATCTCACTTGATTTCCCATTGCTCTGGGATGTTTTTACTTATGCCTTAGCTAGAAACCCACTATTTCATTCATTTTAAGGAGATTTATTTTAAGAGTGTGTGTGTGCACACCCTGCGTGTGTGCATTTATTTTGTGTGTGAATATGTGCACTTTGAGTGTGTATGAATATGTACACGAGTGCAGGTGCCCATGGGAACCAGAGACATCAGAACCTTCTGGAACTGGAGTGACAGGCAGGCTGTTTAAGCTGTCTAGAATGGATGCTTATGTCTTTAATCCCAGCCCTTGGGAGGCAGAAGCAGGTGGATCTCTGTGAGTTCAAGGCCAGCCTGGTTTACAAAGTGAGTTCCAGGATAGGCTCCAAAGCTACAGAGAGAAACCCTGTCTCAAAAAAACAAAGTAAATAAATAAATGAATAAATAGATTGGGTGCTTAAAATCAACCTCTTCTGCACGTGCAGTTTATGTTTCTGGCTGCAGTCATCTCTCTAGCCCCTGTTTTATGCATTTTGTCCAATTTCTAAAACTTGTTTTAGACAGAAAAATAAATCTGGTTGCTGGTCCTCCATCCCAGAATCTCATTTCTTTAGTTTTTTCAGAATGTAACAGTGAATCTCTAACTTGTCATTAATAAAAAAATTATAGGTTTCTTTATATGTATGAATATTTTGCCTGTATGTACATATGTGTGTATGCATGTGTACCACATACATTAGTTCCCCCAGAACTGGGGTTGCAGATGCTTGTCGACCACTCTGGGGGTGTGGAGAATCAAACCCTGATCCTCTGCAAGAACAGCGAGTGCCCTTAAATGCTGAGCCTTTTCTCCTATCCTTGTTGTCTTCAATTTTAATTCCATAAACATTGATACTATTTCAGATACCTCATTTTTCTTTCAGAATATTTTAAAATTTTTTTATATATGTGTATGTGTATCTGCATGAGTTTACATGTACCAAATGCATGCAGTAGCCTACAGAGGCCAGAAGAAGTTGTTGGATGCCCTGGAACTGGAATTACAGACAGTTCTGAGGTGTTCGATGTGGGTGCATGGTCCTCTAGAAGAGTTGCAAGTACTCCTAACTACTGAGCTATTTCTCTGTACCCCTGCCCCCTTTTTTCTAACTACGTAGCTTTAGACTTGTGTAGTTCAGGCTTGTTTTGAATTTTCTGCAGCCTCCTAAGTTCTGGGATTACAGATATGTGTCATATACTCAAAATCAAGCATAAAGATTGCTTTAAAATTTGAATTTTTATTTCAGTAGCAAATAAAGTTTAGGAATTAAGTAAATAGGCCATAGTATCAGGGACAAGTCCAGTTAGAGCACCCAAAGATACTTATAGGAAGTTGGGCTGCTGGCAGAAGGACCAGTAGCTTGTGTAGGTTCATATGATAAAATTGTAATTACTATAAAGGAGAAATGGTTTCATAAGGTATATGCCATTGATAAATGAAGCGTGATTAATAAAAACTAAGAGACAGAAATTGGGGTTCAACCTGAAGGTAAGAAAAGCAAAACAGCCAGCCACTGCCTTTTACCTCTCCCTCAGTCTGAAATGGTGTTCCTGCCTCCAGGAATCTCAGAAGAAACTGATGTCTCCTCCTGTTTTATAATCTTCTCTAGTTTGGGGATTAAGTACATCCACCACTACTGCCTGGTTTCTATGGCAAGCTAGTGTGGCAACTGGGGTTAAGGGTTAAAGATGTGTGCCATTGCTGCCTGGTCTATAAGGCTGACCAGTATAGCTGTTTTACTTTTCTGATCTTCAGGCAAGCTTTATGTATTAAAATACAAATGAAATGCCACTACAAATAAATATGGATTATACATAGCTTAAGTAAATATTATAAATCGTGCAGTGTATGAATTTTTCATAGCTGGAGAGAAGCTCAGTAATACTCGTAACTATTATTTTCTTTCTTCCTAGGTTTAAATAGTTGAGTAAGATCAAGCTGGGTAACCATGGCTGAAGGTGGATTTGATCCCTGTGAATGTGTTTGCTCTCATGAACATGCGATGAGAAGACTGATCAACCTGGTGAGATGGACAGAGCAGTCCTGTTCGGAGCGGATCTGTGTCCTTCCTGGGTTGTGGGATTAGGGTTCCTCTCCGTTATATTTCTCTGCAGCCATAAATTAAGACCCAGGCAACCAGGGGAGGAAAGGTGTTATTTCAGCTTTCCTTCCTGAAGGGAGGCGGGAGGCTGGAGGCAGTAACTGAAGGAGAGGCCACGAGGAACATTGCTTAATCGCTGTGCCCCTGACTTGCTTAGCTTGTTTTCTGAACAACACAGTATCAGCAGCCCTGGGGTGGCAGCACCCATGGTGGGCAGGGCCTCCCACATCTATCATTAATCAAGAAAATGTGCCTGCAGGCTTGCCCACAGGCTGATGTGGTAGAGACATATTCCCAGTTGAGGTTCCCTCTTCCCAGAGTGCACTAATTTGTGTGTGGCACAAAACATCAATAAGCACAGAGGTTAATAGAGGATTGTCTCAGGATAGTCACTAAAAATATTTAATAATGGAAACATAATGATAAAACACGTCAGTACTTTTTTTCTAAAATATTTATTTTATTGGTGTTTTAGCCTATATGTATAAATGTGTTAGGGTGCTGGATCCTGGAGTTACAGACAGTTGTAAGATGTCATATGGGTGCTGGGAATTGAACCCGGGTCCTCTAAAAGAACAGTCAGTGCTCTTAACCGCTGAGCCATCTCTCCAGCCCTGTCAGTGCTTGTTTTACTGGAGATGAAAACTGATTTATTTTCTTTACTTCTGTAGGTTTGTTTTAAGGAGTCTGACATTCTGGTTAATTAACCACAATCATGTTGAGGCTGTTGTATTTGTGTTGGAACAGATAATTGTTTTTTCGTTATTGGAGTTTGACTGCCAAGCTCCCATGAAACCATGTATCCTTTCTGATAAACACAGTTCAGTCCTTCTCCAACATAGATCAGGACGGTAAGAGTCTCTGTAGAAAGCATTTCTAGAACTGGAAAGATGGCTCAGAGCACTGATTGTTCTTCCAGAGGTCCTGAGTTCAATTCCCAGCAACCAGTGGTTGCTCACAACCATCTGTAATAAGATATGATGCTCTCTTCTGGCCTGCAGGAATGAATGCAGATAGAAACACTGCATAAGAAACAAACAAATAAATCCTCAGAAACGCATTTTTTTATCTAGTAAGCTGAGCTGGTGCACTCCTTTAATCCCAGCACTCCAGGGACAGAGGCAGGCAGATCTCTGTGAGTTTGAACTAGTTAGAGTGAGTTCCAGGATAGCCAGAGCTACACAAAGAAATTCTGTCTCAAAGAAACATAAAGAAAGAAAGAAAGAAAGAAAGAAAGAAAAAAACTTTCTTAGTTCATAAGCTTAAAATGGATACTATTTATAGTATATAGAAAGAGAAATTTGACCATTATTAATAATAAAGTTGTTTTTTAAGTATTAGGGATTATACCCAGGGCTGCTGAGCTATTTCCTCAACCTCTCAAGTCTTACTCTCTTAAAAAGTATTTTATTTTGTGTGTATGGGCGTTTTGTTTGAATGTATGCCTGTGTATCATATGTGTGCCTGGTAGTCTTGGAAATAGTGTCTCAGATCCTGGTTGTAAGTCTCAATGTGGGTGTTAGGGATCAAACTAGCGCTATTTGGAAGAGTAGGCAGTGCTCTTAACCAGTAAGCAATTGCTCCAGCCCCTCGAGTCTTAAATTTAGTCCAACATAAGGCATAATTTTAAAAATACTTTGACATTAATAGCAAAAAAAATAGTCCTACAATTTAACTGTAGTGAAACAGGCTTTCCATTTTTAATTAAAATTATTATCTCTCTTTAAAATTTATATTTTAATTTGGTATTTTTTTTAATGTTGTTCCAACTTGGCTACATTTTAGAAGTAATTAAAACTGGGAAGTGTCCACCCTTTCCCTTGCCTGGGTGTATGCATGTGACCTGGTTTCTAACTTTAGCTCAGTTTCTAGGTCAGGGTGCATGAGAAGGTGTGGTGGAAGACGGTAGTCATGGAGATTTTACCATGAGGGAAGAAACCCTCTCTGGACCAAGCCTCAGACTCATACCTTAGGACACAGAGTTGGAGAAATGTAAGAGATGTCCATCCAGCAGATAACTCCAGGATGGAAATATAAAAAAAGGATAAGAAGACAACTCCTGAAGTTCATAGCAGATTCCAGAAACATCTGAGACGATGCAGCAGTTAAGAGAGATCTTGTCTGCATACACAGTGAAGAGGGGGATTGTTAGAGACCCAAACAGAAACCTTGAGAATGAGCAGCTCATGAAGTCAGAAAGCAAGAGTTTCAGCAACAAACTTGATGAAAGAAGAAATAAGAGACGTTGAATACAAGACTTTTGAAATATCAGTGCCAGACATAAATGAAGAAAAGGAAAGAATGCAGAGAAAATGGAAGTGTGTTGGGAACCTTTAAAAGATGGCATATTCGGCTCATTGGTGGCTCCTGTGTAACCAGAGCCTCAGGATGACGTCAGAAGTGGGCTGGAGAAATGGCTCAGTGATTAGGAGCGCTTACTCACCCATCAGGCAGCTCACAACCACCTAGTATTCAGCTGCAGGGGATCCAGTGTCCTCTTCTGGCCTCCAGTTCACCCCCACACGGCATACTCACATACAGACACACAAGTAAATGAAAACTTTTTAAAGAGGAAGGGGGTGACGCAGCAGTTAAGAATACTGGCTTCTCTTCCAGAGGATTTGGCCCAATTCCAAGTGTCCAGAGGCCCGCTCACTTCCGTTCCAGCAGATCTAATATAGGCACTGCATGCATACAGCATACATCCATACATGCAAGCAGGTACATATACCCATAAGATCAACCAATAAATCTAAGACTTAAAATTCCCAAGCAAAACTTGTAATTTCAGTGAATACAAAGACGTGTGTCTGCTGAAAGGAGGCCCCATTGTTTCTCTTCTCTTCTGTGAGATATAAAGATGACTGTAGACCTCTGCCAGCAGGCTAAAATTAGAATTTCTTTCTAAGAAAAGGCACTGGGAAGGCTCCTCCTTGGATGTTAAGGAACAGGAGGGAAGCCAAGGTGATGTCAAAACTCCGCGTGGCTGTAAAGTAACAAAAAGAAAGACTGCCTGGCTCGGTGAGATAGACTCAGACTAAATCTTCTCTGCGCTGAGAGCCACTCTGCTCTGCTTATGTGCTTGGTTAGGGAGGGTCAGTGTACTCAGCCATAGGTATATTGGAAAATGGGGTGAAATGTTTTTTTTAATTGTGGGTTCTGAGTATCAATCTCAGGTCGTTCCCATTGAAGAGTGTTTTCACATGCAATTGTAAGATTTGAGAGGAGAAATAACGTCCCACAGTGTTTAGCTTTTTTATTTTATTTTGCTGAGGGAAGGCCTCACTTTGTAGTGTATGTTGGTCTGAAACTCCCTTTGTTAACTATGGGGCTCAGCCTCCTGAGTGCCCGATTGCAGCCTGAGCTACCTGACCCGTCACTCCTGAACGCGGGGTTACAGCC